TTGTTCTGATGAGAACAAGAATAAAGAGGATCGTGATAAATTTTTTGTTTATTCCTGTTGTTGTTTGTACACATTGGCGTACGTGCGTGTGTGCCTTGTGTATAGGTACTTGTGTGTTGCAGAGGAGCAATTGAACGGCATTTACAGACAACTATTGGCAATGATAGGCGAAAGAGAGTTGAGAAACATTAAGACTTTGGTAGTACATACATTTCGTATTTGCTTACCATCATTTTACTATTGAAACGTTCCAAGTGCCTGGGCCTGTGGTAGCAAGGATCCCAAGTGTGCTCACAAGCAAGGAATTGGCTGTTAACCGCAATGAACCATGTTGCCTTCATAAGGATGGTTTGGCCTCCTCTCCCTGATATCATTTGTTTTAATTATTCTAAATGTAGTCACCCATGCTTAACCTACTCAAGTTACACGTCAAATGTACAGTATGTAGGTGAAAGTATATGGACAGTCACGTAGAATCAGCGAGATATGAAAAAAAAACCGCAACAATTACCCATCGTTTTAACAGGAAGTGCCTATATATCTTTGGTGCTTTTACTTTCGTTAATAAGGAATTTCTTGGCAGCAAGTATTTGCTGCTGACATTGAGTGCAGGCAGCATAAGTGCTGATTGCTGTCCTTAATTTGGACCCCTGCATTGAATATTGTGCAAGTTTAAATATTTACTTGCATTCATAATTACTTCTGTAGAACACCTTTTAGCAGAATTTTTTTCTCTCCATAGGCATAGGAACGCGATTATATAACGGAAGTTGATAGTGGAAACGTCATTCACGTTGCAGTCAACTAGAGGCATCGTGTGGTCCATTATTGAGCACTGGTAAACTGTTCAACTGGAAATTTACCAGGTTGAATCATTGCAATGAAAACACGATGACTGGTGGAGTCACTCAGCAGCAGAAATACTTAGTCAAACCAACTTACTTCAAGTCAAGTCAACAAAGTCAAAATACCAAGTCAACAAACTTAACTAGTCAAACCACGCATTTGGCAATGCAGCCAAGCAAATTTATTCATTATATACAGTCGACCTTGCGTGCATTACACCGGATCCACTTGGTCCACTACGATATAACAATAAGGGGGTTTGGGTTACCCAAGTGCTCATCACCGGGCATGTTGCATCTCGTAATGTTTAGATTGGTCCACACTCGCCTATACGTGAGAAGATGAGCAGCAACTTTAACAGCTGTAACCAGGCACACTAAGATTCGTAGAAGTTTCATCATTTCAGGTCAAGGTTCATTTTTCTGATACGAGCCAGGATAATAATAAGCAGGTTTTGACGTCTGTGTCAATTCGCTACACGAGTTCCTGACTTGTATATAATAACTCAACCTATACATTCATGGTATAAATGTATGGGTGTAATAGCACACCACAAAGTAACCGGCACAGCACAATAGCATGAATAACAGCACAAATATCATGAATATAATGTCACAGAAAAACTATCGTCAAAACATTCAAACTATGAACGTTAATGCTATGTCGTTATTGGACACTAAAACACCTGTTGGCATTTCTTAGCTAATCTATGCATGGTCTGCGATGATGATGGTATACGACTCCTCACATTGGTTCCCCGTTCTACAACGTGCAGTAACTGCTCGAAATGACACTCCATGAAATATCTAGCACACTATGACACGTAACCTATGCAAATGATTCCTGTATTTCCCCACACACAATAACATACCTGCCATCTACCCATCCTCTTTCTTTCTCTATATCGGTTTCATTCGGAATGTAAATAAAATTATGTGCAGTAACATGTGCTTACCTTGACAGAATGCAAGCATTTCTCAAGCCTGCTTCATGCATGATTATGGCAGCAGTAAACGACTAATGAAATCACCGATGGTAATGAATCTTCCGTGAGTAGAAAACAGTACAGTGCTGAACTCTGGTTACAGTATTAATCAATTAAACTAATTAATAAATGATAATATGATTCAACCAGCGTGATTCAGTTATGACAGGTAGTCGGCTTGTTGTTTTGTAACAACAACTTCCTCACGGCCTGACTGTTGACTTCAACATTCACCGAGCAACGAGGGGTCAGTAAATGCAATTGGATGCATATGGTTATCCTGTCAAGCAGACCTCGTGCAATTAGCTATCACCATAGTATTCAACTAACGATGCAAGGTCCTCTACCCTTGAGGACTGATGCAGGCAGAATTTTTACTTGGTTCATTGCACATTCATCTGCGAGAATCATTGATATATTCGCAAATCCGAATGCGGCCATGTTTAATTAAATTGTAAATGCTGGCCAGGGGAGAATATCAAAGCATGTTGTAGCTAGGACATAGTGTACAGCTAGTGACAATAAAAGTTAACACTCTAAAAGTGCATCTCGACATAACAACTGGAACGTAACATAAACACAACCAAATGCCAGTCTGCCTATTAAAAACCATGTGCCTGATGACAAAACCACATAATATTTGAGGATGTTCTCCTCTGTTTCTCTAGAATTATATTCCTATAATACCATGCACTGCTGATGGAAACGAAGTGCTACGAATTGCTCGCATTGACTTGAATGCCAAGTATGTGTGTGTTATATGCCTGTGTTTAGTAACCAGGTTTTACGTCACCCAAATTTAGCGAGCAAGATAATTTCTGGAGACATGATTGGCTACTCGGAAACAGTCAAAGAAACATGGAGAATATTGATTGTAGGATGGAGTGCGGCCAGTCCAAACTGCGCAATCTTCGACCTTTATAACTTTTGAGGAGTAAAACTTTATAACCTTCAGCAGAATTAATGACCTTGAAAGAATCGATGCCCATGGAAATTATTCGTTTAAAATTTCGTTAGCTGCTTTGATTAATGAATACCTACGCATCTAATCCATTTGATCAATATAATAAGCTTTTGCTTTTCCCCTGCAATCCCTTTTCCCCTCTCTTTCCCCTTTTTCAACCCGTATACGATTGATACGTTTGTGAACGTCACTCAGCAGTTTTTCTTCCTACTACTCCCTCTTGTCTTTACATTTGCTTCTCTTCACTTCTTCTTCACTCAACTGCAAGACTACAATCTATCGCTGACACTCTTCTTTTCTCCTCACTCATGAGACTACAACTAGCCGACCACCCCCCCCTCTCCTGACATGATCACCTCCTTAACCCACGGCCCCTAGTGACTATCTGCCTCCTCCACGGACTGCCGAGCTTCCAAGATGGAGTTGGTTGCCATAGGAACGTCGGCATCTGCAGGAGAGTCCGGTGAGAGGATGCATTTTCCGATGTTCTTCCTGTCATGCATTTGGGCCATCGCGCGTCCCACCTGCAGATGCAAGATGAGTAGTAGGGTTATCAACCATAATTACCACCTGAGCACTAACTATACACCCACATGCGATATTTTTAAAACTCTCACTAGATGGCAGCACGGATCGAACGCATTACACGTCGTACTGTGTATCTCATCTCTTGGTACAGAAGCGTATTTCCTTAATAACGTCTTTCTGGCAATGTGTTTAGCACTGTACGGAGCGGAAATTACATCCTGGAATAATGCAGTCAAAGCGTGTTGCTTGTGATCTAATGAGCGAGGCTAGCCAAGAGCACGGCATTCATCCAATGAGTCATATCTTAGACTACCAAGCAATGCAAAATTACTGTAGTTTGTTACATTATTAATATCGAAATCTGCACGCTGAGTTGTTTGAGACCACCTTCCATGCATGCATGACTACTATGCATAACTCTTACTGTCATTGTATCATTCATTTTTAATATCAAACGAGGCACCCGATGACTAGCTGTTCTTCTAACGAACACATCTAATCCACACGCCTAACGAGCATCTCAAATTAGAACATCAAACAAACGGGGTTGCATCTGATGTGTGTGTCGGACATGTTTAGGTGCAGGGTTAGCAGCGGGTGCTTGTTCTGTGAAACCCTTCCAGCACTTCGTCTGTCCATCAGCTAATGCGCCGACGACGCTCCTCCTAACACTCGAACCTTCGCTGCATTTGTGCGCTTGCTCCATCGAGAGAGCAAATGCTACACTCTCATGATCGCACACAACACATCCCATTCATCAGCCTCTTCACCACACTCCTCAGCTTCCTCACTGCGCTCCTCCACATCCTCATCCCACTTCTCAGCTTCTTCATCCCACTTCTCAGCCTCTTCATCCCACTTCTCAGCCTCCTCATCCCATGCACTCCTCATTAACATCGCTTGCTCGCTCACCTGCTCAAAGGGCCAGATGGAGTCGATCTTTGGCTTGATCTTGCCCATCTTGTATAAGTCGAGAATTTCGAGCATTGTTGAGCGTAACAGCTCCATCTCACCTGTAGAGAGAGAGAGAGAGAGAGAAGTAAAGACAACGCACAGTGATGAAAACCAACCAAAAAAGTAGTAACCAACTGGGTCCTTAAAGTAAAAACAGGGGCCCAGCACATACTTTAAGGGCCCAGCTTAACACATGAATTGCCACAGTTTAGGAGCAGTGTTCTTGGAGATTGACACTAAAATTTTGCGCTTATATGCACTATGAGCGTGAAGATTCAGAGCAAACGTTTTGAGAAAACAAGTACAAGTGTTTGCAGTTCTTAGCTGTTTAAAGTATATATTAAATGATTTTTCATACCAGTGATCAAAAAATCTATCGGGATCCTATGAAACGGTAAGCAAATCGCATTGATTCCACTGATTATGGAATGTTTACCTATGCAAACAAACCATTGCATTCTGGGAACCCTTCAAATAGAATTCTGAGACACAACATTTTTAATCGTCTTGGACGACTGGGTGCGTGTGATCATCGTGGATTGCGCTATGTATGCGCCCACCTGTGAGGTGACCCATGTGGAAGCCACAAATAGCCTTGTTCTTGCTGATAAGCTCCATCGGAGAGATGCTGTTCATCTGCCACCAGGTCTTCGCGACAGAGAAGATGCTTCGTACCTCCCCGCGCACCATGTTCGCCATTCCTGCCCCATGCAAATAGAGGGAGCGAGTATAAACTCCATTTAAGCACATATATAACTATATATATATATTATTATTATAATTATATATATAATATAATATAATATATATATAGACTATATCGCATATATATTTTAGATATATTATGATATATATTATTAATATAGATTATTAATATATATATATAGTATTATATTAATTATATATATATAAAGTTTAATAAATAGTATAACAATTTCTAACCATAATCTGGTGCCCATTGTCACACACCTCATAATATAAATAGTTACAACTATTATAAGTCTAAGCAATTGCCCCCAGAAATGTAACCCTAACCCAGAAATCTAACCCTAACCCAGAAATCTAACCCTAACCCAGAAATCTAACCCTAACCCAGAAGTCTAACCCTAACCCAGAAGTCTACCCCTCACCCAGAAGTCTAACCTTAACCCCGACTCCAAACCCTAATCCCTAACTGTTGCTTTGGATGGCTAGGCCATCCTTAAAAAATTATGTTTGCTGTCCTCCGACCGACCCACGAAAATAGCCGCAACCAAAGAGTTTTTTTTTTACATTTTGGGTTCCATATTTTTTTATTTTTTTTAACATTTTTTATAGTTAAGACTGAAACACAATGCATGTGTGGCAAACATGAGGACAGACTTAAAATAACTATTATGCCTCACAAAAAAAGACCTACCTACCTACCCACTAAAAAAATCATGGGTCAGGGGACAGCAAACATAGAATTTGTTAAAGATGGCCCTACATGCCAGATTTAGATAGCCAGAGCTCTACATCCAGTCTTCTTCCAGTAGGTGGCGCTACTCATCACGCGAATGTGGGGATCGAATAATTTAGGACGCGTCCCATAGGAGCGGCCGGACACATGCAAGATCAAAGTTAGTGGCTAGGACGGACGATCAAGAAATGCTGGTACTGAGTAATATATTATATAGGGTCCGTGGGAAGAAGACATGAGAGCGGAGATTCAGGAATAAATTGTCTAATAGATAGATTAAAGAGAATAGATACACAACAGATTACCATGATTGTTGATAAGAAATATATTAACAGGATCTAAGGTAATCAATATATAGAAGACTGTCATTAATAAATAATAGAAAAGATCGTTGTAAATCCATAAAGGAACAAGATTATTGATAATCAAGAGATTTCAAGATTCATTGAAATCATTGACGATCGATAGATTAACGTGTTTGTTGGTGATGAAAAGCTCACCAAAATCAATCACCGTTAATCAATCGACTACTGCTGTAGCTCTAGTAACTATAGCCCGCGTACAGTTGTCGCAGCCGCAGTTGCCTCAGCCGCAGCCGCAGTTGCCGCAGAATTCCTGCGGCAACTGTATGCGGGCTATAGTTACTAGAGCTACTACTGCTAGAGCTCGGTTGAGTATCGTGAGGGCGTAGTAAACGCTAACTGGAGAACAGCAGCACACGAGCGTGATCCACTCGAGTTAGCTACGAACAGGCAGGCTAATGCGATATACCTGCTGCCTAATTGCGTAGTCGAGCATTGTAAAGCAACGGCAGGTATCAGTGACACACAGGCACCATGCACCTGAATGCAGGCAGCACAGGCAATCGCGAGCTTCACAAGTAACTATCATCGCAGATTCATTTTGCGGAAGGGGAAGCTGACACAGTGAGAGGACGAGCAAGCAGCACAGTCTATGTGGGGCTTCACATGAGACAGCACAATCATTGCTCGGTGTGCCGTGGATCGAATATCTGCCTGCCCACGCTCCAGTCCAGCCTCAAAATATACACCACTAGGCCACAATTAAAAAAAATATTTGTTTGCCCTCACCCGACCGACCTAGGCTGAAGTTTGGGTAGGTATAGTTAGGGTTTTTTTGAGGGAGGTGTTTTTACAAATTCAGCATGGTGTCTACATGCTTGGGTGTGCTTGTGTGGAGAT